TACTCAAAATACTAAATATTGGATTAAGATCTTTTTAATTCTTACTTTACAGCACAATCCAAAATTAGCAATAAATCAGTGTTTTCACAAGTGGGCTTGCTTACCTTTCTGAAACAGCTCTGGCTTTTAAAAGGGCTGCTGTGTAACATATTGCTGCTGATTTTGGAAGACTAATATCTATGATAAAATAAAACAATTAAACTGTAACATTTGAAGACAAACACTTTAAACCCACTTCCTTTGAACTTAAAGATTTTTATTTAGGTATACCATACAATAAACGTCATATCTGGAAAATTTCAGCTATGATTAGAAACCCTGAACTTCTTAACAATGAAGCAAAATCTTATGGTGACCATTCAGTCTCAGATCAAAAACCTCAAGAGTTAGGCTGGAAAGAGTAATTCTTTCTTCTAAATATACCCAGACACCGAAGCTGGATTTAAGGAGAAATGCATGCATAAATAGACACTTAAGAACGAGGTCTTTCTCTTTCAGATATTGGTAGACACCTGGCTTTTGGACAGGCAGTTTGCCCCTTCACCTACACAGTTATACACAAATGTCAGCAAGTGACATCACTTACCATCATACTTAGCTAAAACTGCCTGGACATCTGCATAGGCCTGTAATTCCAGCAGTGCCTCCAGGAGGTTTTCATGAATATTCAGCATGCTGAGAAGTGGAAATTCTTTCATTAACTGCAAAACAATACAGAGAAATAAAGCAGGTACAATGACATATTATTTTACTTGAACTCTTCAAATAGCTAAAAAAACTAATACAATAATATAAGCATTTTCAATGCTCTGTTGTTTGCCTTGTAAAGGTCACCTTTTTTCTTTGTTGTTACCTGCATTCATCTACTGGAAAATGACCATACTTAAGTGTTGATACATCATACTACCAGCCCAGACTGGCATGTCTTCCCCAGTGGGCCAGTTTGCTGAGAACTTTTTTTTGTGTAGTAATAAGTTACAACACACCTTGGGCAAGCAAAAGACAAAAGTGCAATAAAGCGAACCACAAAGTTCAGCTCTTTTGATGAGTTAGCTATTGACTCAAGCATTAATTATGCTGGACAACAAAACTAGGAACGTATGTCATCATACAATATGAAAAATTAATTTCTAGATATAGGAATCAAAGAGTTCTCATTGGCAATCCCGCAGCAAATAAATCCAAAATGATGTGCAAATCTCACTTCACTGGGAAATAATTAAATTAGATTCACTATGATATCTAGTAAGGGAATTTTCTGTGACACGTTTGGACAACGTGACAGAAAAACATCAGGAATTGTTCACACTTCTCAAATTACTTACATCTCTCATCATTTTTACAGCTTCTCTTATTCTTCCAAGTTTTCTTGCACACATAGCTAGCCTCCTTTTCACATATACCAGTACATTGGTATCTCTTCCTGATTAAAAAAATAAAGAATATTAGTCCATCAGTTGGGGTCTTTTTGAAAAATAAGGAGGTATGAATATACATTCTAACAGGGATATTTTAAAGTAGCTAATCAAGGTGAAACTGTCTGTAGAACAAAAACAGTAAAGATAAAGGACTTTGACTGGAATCCTGAATGTATACCTCTAAAATGAATAGATACCAAATACCAAACAAAAAAGTCAATTCAACAAGGTTAAATGGCAAAAAAAATAGACTAGAAATGACTTAATAATGGTTGGCTGGAATAAAAGGAACCTCAACAAGACAACCTATGATAAAAGCACAGCATAGGTTCCACTTTCTAGATTTACTCTGGTACAACAAAAGATCATATAGTATGTAATACTAAACATAAGTAAAATAATAAGAACTGCTTCACTGATTTGGGGATCAAACTCAAATCACTAATCAAAACTTTTGTTTTATTTTGCTGCTTGAAAGCAGATGTTTATCTGCTTCAAAAGTACTTACTCAGCTGTGCTTCATGCTGGGGACTTTGGGAATGGCAGTTCTGAGACTTTCTGTAAACTGTTTCTCCTGCTTTCAGAGCCTGTTTAAAATACTTCTCAGCATCTACAATAGTTGTTGCTTCTTCCTCAGCCAGGAGGACATAGGCAGTTGCACAGCTGTAACAGGGGAAAAGACGCAAATTATTCTGAGGTACATAAAGCTTAATGTTTGTGAATAAGTGTAAAACACTTCAGAAAAAA